TCAAGCGTGAAAAAACATGTCGCAGCAAAATGACCGTATTTTCGGCTCCAACTTTTTCACTCCCGAGGCCCACAAATGTGAATTTACACCTAAAATACACGCGCACGCGTGCGGTGCGACTATACTCGCGTGTACGCATCCGTTAGTGGGTGTGTATGTGTGATTATGTGATTCTAAAAACGCGTATATAGCCGTAAATCCACATTTTGTGCTTTTGGAGGGTGAAAAAGTTTAGGCTTAAATACGGGCCATTTGCCCGTGAATGTTTTTCCATGTTGACTGGTCGTGGGCGATATTATCCGCGAGAGGGGTGTAAGGAAGTGACAGAGGAAAAGAATTGTCGCGTCCGTAAAGTGCATATATGTATCTATGTACAACCACCTGGCTCTACACGAGTGTCTCCTTAGTATATCTAGTTAGAGCTCTAGCCTATCAATTATGAAACTGGGGTTCGAATCCCCGTTAATTCTTTGCTAAAATATTTTCTAACTTTTGTAAAGGTAAACGTATTTGCAGACATGTATGCAAAGCATATTTACGAACGCACGCACGCACACACACACACACACACGCGCGCGCGCGCGCGCGTCGCAATACGTTTACCTTTACACAAGTTAGAAAATATTTTAGCAAAAAATTAACGGGGATTCGAACCCCAGTTTCATAATTGAAAGGCTAGAGCTCTAACTAGATGTACTAACGAGACACTCGTGTAGAGCCAGGTGGTTTTACATAGATACATATATGCACATTACGGACGCGACAATTCCTTTCCCTCTGTCACTTCCTTACTCCCCTCTCGCAGATAGTATCGCTCATGTCCAGTCAAGCGTTGAAAAACATTCGCAGCAAAATGACCGTATTTCGGCTCAACTTTTTCACTCCCGAGGCACAAAATGTGAATTTCGCCTATAGTACACGCGCACGCATGCGTGCGACCATGCCCGTGTGTGCGCGTCCGTGGGTGTGTGTGTATGTGTGATTATGTGATTCTAAAAACACGTATTATAGGCGCAAAATCACATTTTGTGCCACGGGGAGTGAAAAAGTTGGAGCCGAAATACGGGCATTTTGCTGCAAAAGTTTTTCAACGCTTGACTGGTCGTGGGCGATACTATCTGCGAGAGGGGAGTAAGGAAGTGACAGAGGGAAAGGAATTGTCGCGTCCGTAATGTGCATATATGTATCTATGTAAAACCACCTGGCTCTACACGCGTGTCTCGTTAGTACATCTAGTTAGAGCTCTAGCCTTTTATATATGCAACCGGGGTTTGAATCCCCGTTAATTCCTTGCTAAAATATTTTTTAACTTGTGTAAAGGTAATATGTATTGCAGACATGTATGCAAAGCATATTACGAACGCACACACACACACACACACGCACGCACACGCGCACGCGCACGCGCACGCGCACGCACACGCACACACACACACACACACACACACACACACACACACACACACACACACACACACACACACACACACGCGCGCGCGCGCGTCGCACAATTTCCATTTCAGTGTTGAACGTGCGTGCGTGCGTGCGTGCGCGTGCGTGCGTGCGTACCGTGCGTGCATGTACGATGGAACATGAGAGGATTTTTCATTTAAGAAAGAGTACCGACGCAACACTTGGCTATATTAAATGCATGCAATATAAAAATATATAAATACATGTTTATATATCAGTAAACACATTACATGTGGTGACAACGTGACACTCTTAACTAACAGTTACACATGATGACAGCATAGCCTCACCCACCAATAGTACTACCTAACTACATGTAAAAAAAACTCTCTAGCACAACTATGTAATGTCAGGCATTCCGATACGATTTCTAACAAACAGGGTAATATAGAAATGACGATTTTTTTTTACCGCTAACGTATACTGAATTACATTTAAACGCCAACAGTAAAACAACAAACGACACTCAACACTTGATCACACATGTCCGCAGCAGAACCTGAACACAACAAAACTGTTCAAAATCAACGTGTAAATAAAAGTATTAAAACGCATAAGAGTGCTTTACAAGTAGCTTCATGAACACACACACATGACACGCATATATATATATATATATATATATATATATATATATATATATATATATATATATATATACACATGGAGTATTAACGTGTTCATATTAACATATAATCTGTAAATTACTACTACTACACTATTCTATTCGTTAGTCAATACAATGCAAGTCTGTTCGGGTAAACGCCGTTGCCGTCTTAATTGCCTTCCTAGTTAAAAATACTGGTAAATGTTACACAATTTTAAAACAACAAGCATGAAATTTGGGTGGAAAAATACAAACACTGACTGCTTCAATCAGCTCTATAAGCTGCATTTGCTGCCATAGCTAATCCAGGGCCGTAGCTAGCGGGGCAAGGGGCTATTGCCCCGCTAGAAAAAAAATACATGGTCAATGGTGGTAACCTTCCCAGAACACCCCACACACATGGCTTTGCCCCCCAGACAAAATAGATTAGCTATGCCTCTGCAATCCAATGTGCGACAGGCAGCAATGGGAATGAACGATAGTTTAAAAAGACTCGCAAATCGCAAAATTCGATGCTCATCTGCAAACAGGCATAAACGTTTGTTCGTCAACATCGTTGTTTGACATCATCGGAACTAACCCTACCAATACAAACACTGAACCTGCACAAAATCTCTCTATCTCTCTCTCTCTGTCTCTTTCTCATATATATATATATATATATATATATCATAGTCCTCATTCCTGTCTATGTGACAACCATCATGTCACTGTCTACGTGACAACCACCACGTCACTGTCCATGTGACAACCACCACGTCACTGTCTATGTGACAACCACTACGTCACTGTCTACGTGACAACCACCACGTCACTGTCCATGTGACAACCACCACGTCACTGTCTATGTGACAACCACCGCGTCACTGCCTCTGGGTCAAGGCTGATCGACCTCCATCGCCTCCGCATTGGCTACGCTGTCTGTCTCCATGGCAACGACGCCGTCGTCGACGTCCATTCCCGGCTCCGTCGCCGTGGCAACGTCGTCCGTCGCGCTGCCTCCGCTCTGCGTGCTCATCTCCCCGTCCTCCGCCTCTCCCCTCTCCATCATCTCCTGCTGCGTGCGAGACTCGTTGCCGTTGGCGACCGTCGCCGTGGCAACGGGGCCGCCATCTTGCCCCGCGGGGTCAGGCTGCGGGGGTACTAGGAGCACGGGTGAGGGTGGCTCCGCCACGCCGCTCCCGTCTGCCACCTGGTGTTCACTCGGGGGCGGTGAGGTTTGGTCAGTGCGCACGAGCGTCGAGTCAGCAACCGCTGCTGCGGCATGATCGCCAACACCGCCACAGTCGCCGCCAACACCGTCGATGCTGCCGTCACCGCCACCACTGCTGTCAACAGCGCCACCATCGCCACTGCCGCCGTTGATGTTGTCGCTGCCACCAACACCGCTGCCAACACTGTCATCAACACCGCTGCCACCAGCGCCAACACTGTCGTCAACACCGCCAACACTGTCGCCAACACCGCCAACACTGTCATCAACACCGCCAACACTGTCGCCAACACCGCCAACACTGTCATCAACACCGCCAACACTGTCATCAACACCGCCAACACTGTCGTCAACACTGTCGTCAACACCGCCAACACTGTCGTCAACACCGCCAACACTGTTGCCAACACCGCCAACACTGTCGCCAACACCACCAACACTGTCGTCAACACCGCCAACACAGTCGCCAACACCGCCAACACCGCTAACACTGTCGTCAACACCGCCAACACTGCCAACACCGCCAACACTGTCACCAACACCACCAACACTGTCGTCAACACCGCCAACACTGTTGCCAACACTGTCGCCAACACCGCCAACACTGTCGTCAACACCGCCAATACTGTCCTCAACACTGTCGTCAACACCGCCAACACTGTTGTCAACACTGTCGCCAACACCACCAACACTGTCGTCAACACCGCTGCCACCAGCGCCAACACTGTCGCCAACACCCCCGTCACCGCTGCTGTGACCGCCGCCGCCGCTGACGCCAACGCTGTCACCGCAGCCCCCGTCACCACCGCCGCCGTGACATGCAGTGCCAACACCACCGGTGTCCCCACCGCCACCAGCGCCGACACCGTCAACACCGCTGCCATCGCTGCCGCCTCCACGGCTGCCACCATCGTCACCGCTGCCATTGCCGCCGCCGCTGCTGCCACCACCGGCAACACTGTCGCCAACATCGCCGCCGCTGACACCATCACCACCGCCGCCACTGCCGTCACCGCATCCGCCGCTGCTGCCGACTGCTGCATCATCTGTAAACCGAACAGAGATTCAGCGCTTTCCACGCTATCAATCATTCACACTTGTTACATTCACTCATCCCGTTAAGTGCTGCGGGTGAGTGAACTCCGAGAGATGAAACTTGTTCGTGAAATTAATCGACTGTGAGATCAGTCGCTTCGAAAACCAAACATGCAATGCTTCACTAACTCTATTCATCGGAATACCGCTAACGCCCTGTCGCTACATCTCGCTTGACCGCTCTGTGACCTCGCTTGACCCCTGTGACCTCACTTGACCCCTCTGTGACCCTACCTGTGATGAGGTCGTTCGACGACACCTTCAGCTGCAGGTCATCCGCATCCGTCACTTCTCGCGTGGCCGCCGTCTGCTGCTGCTTGGGGGAGCCACCGAGCCTGTAGGCGGTGTTCTCCCCGCAAGACACCAGGTGGTACGCTGCAGCGAATGAAAACAAGTGGCATTACTAGCGACGATTAGCATAACTAAGTAAATGCCTATAAAACTATGTAAAACCCAGTATAACGGCTTATTAANTATTCTTGTAATAATATACCTATTATTGTTAGTATAACTATTCTTGTAATAATATACCTATTATTGTTAGTATAACTATTCTTGTAATAATATACCTATTATTGTTAGTATAACTATTCTTGTAATAATATACCTATTATTGTTAGTATAACCGTTTGCTGGTGTAGCTAGGTTACCTGGTACTTCACTATTATAACAACTATTATTAGTACAGTGCGGCCCCGTTATAACGCGATCGTTGGGGTCCATAAAAT